GTTAGGTTTATTTATATTTTTAAAGCTTTAAGGGTGAGCTGGAAGTGCAACAATGTGCTCACTCAATTTTCATGCATGATTTTTTAGCAATAAAACCGCTCATAACTTCGTTCACAAAGACGTTAAGCAGATATGGATTACAGACAGCGTTAGATGCTGCATCGCATGGTATGCAGCTTGCTTGGATTAACCACTTCCGATTTATGACCATTCCCTTGTTAGTGATGCCCTAATAAGTAACCTTCTACTTGAGACACCCATTCTCGTTCAAATTTTGATTTTTCACCATCCAAAAACGTGTACAGGTCAAACAGAACAATGCAGGCTAAATAACTTTCTTACTTTTGAAAACCCGAATCCGAACTGTTGCGTAGCATTCCTCGCTACGTATCTTCTGTTTTAAGTAAGATCCGAGTAGATGTTAGACGAGAGGAAGCTGTGGAAAGCTGATTCGTATTGGCGTAGAAAAACAATCTATGTCCGCCTTCACTTGCATGCGACAAAGGTGAAAAAGCTTGTTTTACCACTCAGTAAGCCCATGTAAATGACGCAGTGAATGACGCAGTTCTCCTGCTAAAATGAAAATGACGCAGTCCCTCTTGCTGAAATGATGTCGGTTAGTATGATTCTTATATTAGTGACATAATTTTTGCGATGAATGGTATGTATCAACTTTTAAACAAAGTTCTTGAGAACTTGCTAGGGTTTTTCCAGGCTGCGTAGCACCGAGCAAAATGGTCACTTTCAAGAGCAACTAACTTTTCTTGCAAAGACACTGTTGTCTACAAATCAGGATGATTTTATTGGCTTTACAGTACATTTCGTGCCAGCAAGCGTAGAAAGGAAAGGCAACTCAAAAGTCTATTTCTGCATGTTTCTGCATTATCTCAGGCACAAGCGCTGCGAAGTGCACATGAAGTGCATAGAAATCTACTGGACCTCCTATCAAAGCAGAGATGATTTTCAGACGCCATCTCTCAAAAGCTTCCAAAAAATTGACCGTTTCTCGCACTCAAGTGTGCCCTATTTTCTGAGCAAGTGACTTTGAATTTCTCCATTTCGCCAGTGTCCAAATTTAAAATTATTGTATTGTTTTGGTAAGGTCTTTAGACCTTTTAAACTCATCAAATAACCGTGGCAATCCTCGTAGATTGATACCAGCGAAAAGAGATGCAGTTAAAGTTGCAAGTTTGGTTTCTAAATGTGAAAGCATTACAAACTCAAGTGCAGCCGTTCCTAACTTCGTATCTCCTCGTTTAGGTTAGTGAAATACCTATACAATTCTTTTTTGGGGCGGAAAATTAACAGCAGGAAGATCGTAGAATTGTCATAGATCAAACATGCTCCCAAACTTATCAGGACTGAAAGTGGCAATTTTTTTCTTCTACAATAGAATTTTTCCAAAACAATTCTCCTTTATAAACTGAAATTCGTCTTCAAAAAATAAGCGATGCGAAAATGCGTCACAAAATATGAATTTCCAGATGGCCGGTACTTTTTCTTACAAGCTATCAAAAGCTCACATGAAGATCCATTCGGATGCAGACGATACATACGAGTTCCTCCATCCAAGCAGAGGCTGTCTTAATGAGTTGTTTGCGCAAGGCGCTCCAGCGAGGTGCCATGCAAAACCAAACCGCTAGGACGAACTGATGGGTCATTGAGATATCCTGTATGCATCAAGTATAGCTGAAGCGCTGCCTCCCCAATTTCGATTTGTATGAATACATAAAAGCGCCGCCTATGAAAACGACTGGAATTGCGATCTAATAGCAGTGCATTTCACTTATAATTTTATAATCCTTATACTTTCTACATCTTATTTTCTCATACTCCCACTCTTTTCTTGTGGTGCAATCTTCAGACTTATAGAACGGAGATTGTTGTCGACTTAAGAAAAAATATTGGGGTAGCCAATCGACTGCGCAGTCGCCTGTCGATATAGTCCTTGGCCATACCTCACGCGGTTTCTTGGTTGCTACGCGATCTGGCAGCCAGATAACTTCGTCCAACATTGGCAGATCGCAATTGCATAGGGTTACAATTGTCGTAGATTGATAGAATGCCCTATCCCCTGCACATTTAGAATACAAGCGCGATGAGCTATGGAGATTATGCCATTTTGAAGAGCATCGAGCGCTGATTCCAAATCTAATTTTATTATCTGCCGAGCGTCTCGTATGCCGAGCTACGAATATTTTCCTGGTGCGAAAAATTACCGCATTTCTAGTTAAAATCAAATTTTACAGTATTTTCAGCGCTCAAATAGAGCAGCGTTAAGTATGTGTTTTGAATAGAAGGTATTGTCCAAATGGAGTGCTCTGTTAATCAACATTAGGAAATTCAAGCAATTCCGACGAATTTTGTGCTATTATGATTTCAATTTTTCAACTCAAAAAACCCTCATAACTCGATGTCTAGAGGCGCTCGCAGATAACGAAGACAGATTTGGAATCAGCGTTCGATGCTCTTTGTAGTCATATCAATTTCATGTGGAAAGGCCACTTCGTCCAAATGGACCTCCCTTGTTAGCCAAAAACGCTCGCGTGCGTCAAGATGGCCGATTTCATGCATTCTACCACATCTTACCTATTTTCACTACGATGACAGCTTTTACACCGACTTTTTCACGTCTATATTTTCATTTCTGTAGACTCTAATAACTATTAACACAAAACTCCTTCATAGAAAATATATGAACGGAAACTTTAGATACGCAAACCATCTTGAACCACACACTTTCGGAAGTGTTGGCTCATAGATAGATGGAGTAAAAAGCACGGCAAGTGATATCTTATATATAAAGCTGAATGTCTGTTTGTCTGTATGTCTGTCTGTCTGTCTGTCTGTCTGTCTGTATGTATGTCTGTGTGTACGTATGTTCCGAATAGAAAATTCCATTTCTGAACCGATCCGGACCAAACTTGGCACACATACACTACGGGCCCCGGCGGGTGTCATAGGCTACTTTTCGTCATCGATCGATATCGATTTTATCGATTTTTATCGATTTTTTTGCTGAGTTCACCTACGGGGCTGGGAGTTGGCACAGGGGGGTAATCGAGCATGGGGATTCCGAATACAATATTGGTTTTCAGGATTATCGATTACTTTTATCGATTTTATCGATTTTTTTGCAAAGTTTGAGCTACGGGGCTGGGAGTTGGCACAGGGGGGTAATCGAGCATGGGGATTCCGAATACAATATTGGTTTTCAGGATTATCGATTACTTTTATCGATTTTATCGATTTTTTTGCAAAGTTTGAGCTACGGGGCTGGGAGTTCGCACAGGGGGGTAATCGAGCATGGGGATTCCGAATACAATATTGGTTTTCAGGATTATCGATTACTTTTATCGATTTTATCGATTTTTTTGCAAAGTTTGAGCTACGGGGCTGGGAGTTCGCACAGGGGGGTAATCGAGCATGGGGATTCCGAATACAATATTGGTTTTCAGGATTATCGATTACTTTTATCGATTTTATCGATTTTTTTGCAAAGTTTGAGCTAGGGGGCTGGGAGTTGGCACAGGGGGGTAATCGAGCATGCTGTGCCAAACGGTGGTTCAGACTTTTACAAAAGGATTTATTCGGGAATATAGCAATAATATAACAACAATGACGTCCTTTTTACCCGGACCAGGTGCAAATTGATGGATGCGAAAGAGACATGCTTATCACTCCCAGCCCCCTGCTTTTATAGCAGGGGAGCTGGGCAAACAGTTCTATCGGGAGCCTGCCGAAGAGGTCGCCATGTCGGCGACACTCCCGGGGGCGGCGAGTCTAGAATATGAGTACAGTCATGAACAAAAAGGGAGTAAAAATGAGAACAACCATACAGGCATGAAAAAATCATACAATTATGAGATGAAACCTACAAATACGGTATCAATTTTTTTTTGTGCGATACAATCATATCGAAAGTTGCAAAAATGAAGTTAAATACACAACCTACTATTAGAACTTTCTTCTTTTGTGCGGTAGGTGTTTTGGAGTGTGCCGGAAGCCGCGTACCGGACACAACAAGGTGTTGTGCGGCTTCCGGCAGTGGTTGCAGCTCGCATCGCACGGTTCGTCGTGGCTCCTCCGGAGGCACCGGTCACATAGGCCCAGGCGCGAAGCCTGGACCGCGCGTGACACGGGGTCGGGATATTTTGGACAGCGGCCCGACGGATGGCTGGCTTCGCCCTCGGGGCAGAATACGCAGGAGGATGTTCGCGGTTGGTTCGCCGCCTCCAGACGATGCTGGCGAGCGTCCAACGCCGCGAATAGGTTCAGAATAGTATCCAGCTTAGTATCGATGGCCATTAGAGCCTGGACGATGGGGGATTGGCGTTGTTCAACGTCCATTTCTTCGACGATTTTGGCGATGACGGGCATACTGATTACCACCGCTATCTGTGTAGACGTTTTTATACATGTTAGCTTGATATAACCCATTATCTATGTAAGCTTGATATGATACATTATCTATGTACAATTTGCTCATTTATTTGCATCAAAGATTAGCCGCGTATCCTAGTTTTTATCGGTGACAGGATAGCGAGCAGCAGTTTAAACGTTGAGGTCACTATCGCAGAGGCGATGCCCCAGGCAATTTCAAGCATGGCCCAGGCGACCTTGATTAGCATAATTAGTGCTGCTGGTCCGCACAAATATGTCATTCCTATTGCAAGTGACATTGCTGCTATGGCCGCTGCGGCTACCTTCCATTCTTGTTTTATTGTTTTGAGAAGCGGTTGCATGTCTGGCATATGCACATCGCTGATTACATCTCTCCAGTTTCTACTCTCTGACTGCATTTCGAATAGAGTATTCTGTAAATGCTTAGCATGGTAGTGTAAAGTTCCATCCAGATCGATCTCAATTCTTTTTTGTGCACAGATTGCATAGCATTTTTGCTCTATAGCTGCTCTATCGAAATGGAGTATTGTTGTCGTTGTTCGATTGGATTCGTCGCAATTGATCGTGAATGAGTGATCGTTACATAGCACTGTTACAGGAGATGGTGTAAACGCCTTGCAGTGGCTGACAACTTCGGCTCCGTTTTGGCATTCATAGCATCCCGTTATGGACTCAAATATGATCGAGCAAGGTGAGTCGACTCTATACTGATTGATGTCAAACATTAGCTTGGATTGGATTGCTAGTGTTACCTCACCATCCTGACTTGCTGCGAGGATTTCATGCTCCTTTCTTGCGATTGTAGGCTTGCTGTATGGATTGGCAATATATTAGCTTCATCCTTCCGTACATCTCTTAGGGATTTTGTTGAGCACTGGCAATTTTTTGGTACTTTGAATGTTGCGCAAGCGCAGATCATGCGGTTTGTGCACTTTTCGAAATTGTCAGTTGCTTGCTGCCGCGTTTCGCATTCCACCGGTAACTCGTAGCCGTTTGGGATAATTAGAGCTTCATGTTCAGCAATTGCGAAACGCTTATCCATTAGCATAGAGTGCGGCTTGCTTAGCGAGATGATATTAAGAGTGATCTGCTCAAGCTGCTGCGGTAGATAGGGTTGTAATACCACATCTTTGCTCAATGCTGTGCCCCCAATATTCATGTCCAACTCAAAGCTGATCTCCGGGGTCCATTCCACGCAGCTGATGACATCGTAGATTTTATTATCTTTTGGGATGTGCGCTACGCGAATATAGGAGCATGCCGGTGTGATAAGAAAACACCCGCAAAGCAACCCGCCGCATGTGTGCTCGCAGGCGGAATAGCCTGGAAATTCCGAAGCGACTTCTAATTCTGGGATTGTTTCATTGTGCATGAGGGTGTTGCAGTTATTATTGAAACATGACCCTGCTCCATCACACCTAGTAGTGTAGAATATTCGATGTGTGGTATCTCGCGTATAGAAATGGGACAGCTTGGAACATTTCATAATCATCTCCTTTTTCGTGATTTTGATTGTACCCAAGGTTTGATTTGCGTGCCTTATGCTGATACAAAGACGCTTCTGTAGGCGATTAAAGAGTATTTCCTCATTGTATTCATAGGAACAGTCTTGGTTTTGACAAGTTACTTCGACTGTATGTCGCATGTACCCATGTTGGCATGATGCTGCTGTGCTAATCATAGATGATAGGGCTAACACTATGACTATCGTGTTGGATAGGCCTAATGGGTTGGGGTTGAAGTTATCAAGTACGATGTTTGTCTCGGGATTAGATGCTACGTTTGGCCTTCGTGTGAGCAGCCGTTTCAACACCCATAACACCATCATCAAGATTGTTACTAGGGCGTACATGGATAGTGCAGTAGTTATCACTGCACCTGTTGGCCAGCAATGTGGGTTTCCCAGTAAAGATGTTGTCATGATCCTACTTGAGTGATCGCAGTATGTATGAGATTTACATAACTGAGTGACCGAGAATGTCGGGGTTGTGAGGTTCACATGAAATTGCCCCTTGGTTTTCGCGGGAGGGATGCTTATTGACATGGCTTGAGTGTTATTTTCGAATACTTTGCATGTATTACCCACACATAACCTGAATGGTTCTGCAAGCTCTCCAATGTTAAGTATTCCTTCTGCGCACTCCATAGGTCCCTTCGTCAAGGCTTCCACACTATTACAGCTGTATAGGAGGATGAGGCTAATCATTGTCATGACCCGAGAGATATGAGGGGATGATGTGCTTTGCAAACTTCGTTCAAAGTTTTGAATGACTTCGTAGGCGCGAGTCTTAGATTCTCGAGGCGGATTTCGTCTACTAGACTGCGCTTGCAAGAGATTTTCGCCTGTGTCAGCATGTGTGTCGTGTTGTACGCGTGTTTGCTGAGCTGGATGTTCATCCTGCTGAATATTTTCTGGCAGCGTTGCTGTTTCTTCCATGTTTGCCTCTTCAGTACATCTGATTTCTAGAGGGAACAGCTTATTCAAAGGCCTTTGTAGAATTTTATGATTTGGTGTAAGGATTTTGGCTGACCTTATCAGACCGTCTGCACTTTTGACTAGTTCTGTTATCTTTCCATAGGCCCAGTTACCGCGGGGTATCAATTCTTGTTCAATAAGCACAATTTCGCCGATTCGTGGGTGGTGAGGCGTGTGCCGCGGTTGATTCAAGTGCCTCTTTTGACTTTCGCGTAAAAGTGTCAGATACTCTACATTCCAACGGTCCCAGAATTTAGCTGCAGTGGCTTCTGAGAACTCCATTGCTTCATGCGCTTGTGAGGCGGTCTGAATGAGTTCTGGATCATAATCAGGATCGTTAGCTCGCACGTTAGTGTTTGGGAGTGCATATTTCACGTTGCCCTGTAGGAAGTCTATGGGTCGTAAAGGTATGTCTGTTATATCACTCGAGCTCAACTTTGTGAGCGGGCGAGTGTTTATGATGGCTTCAATTCTTGCCATAACGGTGCTTAACTCAGTGAAGGAAACTTTGCGGCGGCCAACAGCTTTAGTAAAACAGCGCTTAACTGAGCCGACTAGCCTTTCCCAAACACCACCCATCCAGGGTGCACCTGGCGGATTAAATATCCACGTTATACCTTCAGTAGCACTGTAATTCATTACAGACTTCTCGCTTCGGTCGTCTTTTTCAAACAATTTTTCTATGATTTTTTGACCGAGCTTGAAATTAGTGCCGCAGTCTGTCCTTACGAGTTGTGGTACCCCACGTCGTGAGACAAACCTTACAAAGCTGTTTAGGAATGCGCCTGTTGATAGGTTCTCCACAGCTTCTAAGTGTATGGCCCTTGTAGTTAAGCATGTGTACAGGCATACATACATTTTCTCGTTGTTTTGCGAGTCGATAGGACCTAAGAAATCGCAACCAATCTTATGGAATGGCTTGGAAATTCGTACTCTATCTTTGGGTAGCGATGGCATCTCTGGAGCGCCGAATGGCAGCCCATGACATCTTTTGCACATGCTGCAGCTTCTGAGATACTTTTTTATTGCTTTCATGGGTTGAGGTATCCAGTATCGCTGTCGTGCTAGCGCTAAAATGTGGTCATTCCCACAGTGCGCGTTCTTCTGGTGTATGTTTACCAAAATCAATCGAGTCAGTTCGGACGGATTGGGGAGGAATATTGGCGATTTTGTATCGTGAGGCAATATCGCGTTTTGTAGGCGCGATTCGTGGCGTATTATTCCAAATTCATCTCTAACAATTTTCACATTGCGGAAGCGCTTCTGCAGTTCTTCTACAGATATAGAATGATGTACTGAGGTGATTATCAGTCTTTCGCTGAGTATTATATCTTCCGCTGTAATGTGCTGTTCCGTGCTAAAGTTTTTGATAATAGGGAACTTTTCGGAATTGAAGCTGCACTTCTGTATCCATTTTTTTGAAGTTTTACCGATTATGGCTACTGTTCTCAGTAGCTTGTTGTAGTTTGAAAAGCGTTGCAAATCAATAAATGACTGTATTTCCTCGCTATTGGTGGGTCGCGGTACGGTAGGATGCGCTTGAACTTCGTCGTCATCGCTCTGTTCGTATTCGGCATTTGCCTCGGTAATTACGCGTAACGACCACTTTTCAGGGCTTTGCGCTAACCATTGTGGGCCTTTTATCCAGGCATGATTTTTCATCGCTGATGCTGATAATCCGCGGGTTCCAGCGTCTGCTGGATTGTCGTTTGTGGAGACGTGGTAGAACTGTATCTGTTTGTTCTTGCATTCAAAATGATGCTTGAGTCGCAAAATGCGATCTCTTTGACTCGCGACAAACGGCGGCAGTTTTTTCATGCTTGGAATCCAAGCGAGAGCGATTTCGCTGTCGTTGGCTATTTTTATGTCCTCGATAGCGTTACCCATTGTATTTACAATGCTCTTTGCTAGTCTGGTGGCTATGAGTATGCTGAGTAGCTCCAATCGCGGTATAGTTTGCACCATTTTCTTGGGCGTAAGACGAGTTTTGCCGCTTATTAGCTGGGAGACTTTTCTAGTCTCAATGCACTGCAGATAGGCGCATGACGCGATAGCTATCTTGCTTGCGTCCGAAAAAATCCAAAGGGTGTATCGGCCTTTATCGGGAGTCGGTAGAGCACGTCGCAGAGTTAAATCACAATTGTTTATCTGCTGACACTCCTCATTCCATTTCGAAGCGAAATGGCTAGGAATAGTTTCTTTCCAGTCTAATCCTGTGCTATAGATTTCTCGCATTAGAGATTTCAGTTTCACCAGAAGTGGTCCCGCCATGCCAATTGGATCGTACACTGAGTTTATCTGACTGACGATATCGCGTTTTGTGAGCTTTTCTTTGGACGGGATGTCTACTCTCAAAGCGTAAGTGTCTTCCTCAGTGTCGTAGTTTACTCCCAGAAACTTGATCACCTTACCGTGTAAACGGTCTTTTTCAGGGATGGCTTGGTTGACAAGCTGCGAGTTGGAAATGTACTCGCGTAAGTTCATTCCGATTTCAGCAAATAGCGCTTTTGATTCATGGTATTTTGTCAGTGCTTCTTGAACGGAATTAGCTTTTAGGAGGATGTTGTCCACATACAGATGCGATGCAATCTCTCTTGCTAAGGGTGTGTTTTTCCAGTCCAAAAAGGCGAGAATCACCATGTTCAGGATGCTTGGAGAAGCTGTCAGCCCGAATGGGAGCCTCGTAAATCGATATTCGACGATATTGTCTTTTGTTGGTGCTTTTTCCGTGTCTCGCACCCATAAGAATCTGCATAAGTCTTTGTGAGCGCTACTTAGTCGAATTTGCGTGAAAGCGGCTTCAATGTCGCAAAGCAGAATGATGTGGTCCGATCGACTCGACGTTAGTACATCATGTATTTTGTTCACGAAGGACTCGCCGGTGTAGACCACGTCGTTTAGCGAAAATTGTGTTTTTCGCTTGGAGGACGCATCAAACACTATACGTAAAGGTACTGCTTTGTTTGGCCGCCAAACGCCTGAGTGTGGCATATAATAGGTGCCGGTTTTATCAGAAATATCATCTTTGGCTACCTCTATTACGTTGTCCTGTATGTATTTGTCAAGAACAGTTTTGTACCAATTTCGTTGGTTTTCGTTGTTTTGCAGAAGCTGCCAAAGTGCTAGTAGTCTTCTGTAAGCCACTGCATAGTTATCGCTTAGATCAACTATGCTGTCTTTGAGTGGTAGCGGAGCGATCACAACACCGTCTTGAAACGAAAGTTTCTTTGAGTAGGTCTGGAAATATGTGAATGTGCTCTCATCTTTTTGCAACTCTTCTGAGGAAATTCCTAGTCCTTCGAGTTCAAACATTTTCTGGAGCATTTCTGACTCTTTGACGTCATTTATGAGAGTTAGCGCGTGGATTGCAGTGTTGGTGATAGTTAGCGATGGTGGAATCGTCCCTTTGCCGTGTATACTCGGTCCAAACACTGTTTTTGTAATGTTCAATCCTGACGGCATTTGTATATTTTCTGCGCTTGGAGGTACCATTGCGAGAAAATAGTCTATACCGATGAGGATCTGCGGGTTTTGAAGTTCACCGCGCACTCGCGGATTGCAGACAACCATTTCTTTTGTTTGCAGGAAATTTTTGTCTTCATCGGACAGCCGAACCGAGGAGAAACCGTTGGTTATGACCGGTTTTGTTTGCCCGGTGAGTATCATCTCTTTGCCATAGGCTGTGCTGACTTTCAACGTTACGATCTTGCTTTTGAAGTGTTCGGTATGTCCACCAATGCCGGACATCGTGCAATGTTCCGTGTTCTGGGTTGGTAGACAAAATTCTTCAGCAGTACTCTCTTTTATGAGTGTTTTTTGAGCTCCTGTGTCGAAGAAAAACAGGACTTTTTCATACTGATTTGTTCTGTGGTTCCACAGATTGCCTTCCGCGGTCATAAGCACAAATTGTTCTTTGTTTCTGACCGCTTGTGCATTGTCGTTTCCTGTATCAACACATGTGTTGTTTACGACTTGTCTTTGGTTTGTCCTATCTTGGAAGTCGCGTCCATGATTATTGCGCCATTGTGGTCTATTTGCTCTTGTATCATGTCTATCATTGCGATACGCTGACCTTTGATGGTTGTAGTTGCGATTGTTTGTTGCTTGATTCGAATTTCGCTCGTTCATGTTTGGAGCGTTTGAAGATGGGCACAAGGAGACATCATGTAGTCGCCCACATCGAGAACAGTTTGGTTTCATGCAGGCACCAGCACTGTGTTCGTTGGAGAAGCATTTCCAACAAAGATGTTCTTCTTTGACCACGTTTCGCCTTGCAAAGGTGTCGGTTACCGTTCTGCAATTCGATGTCGTATGATTGGACATTTTGCAAAATACACACGTGTTCGTATTTTTTGGTATAGTACGTTCGTTGTTTGCATAATTACGCTCGCTGTGTGCATAATCAGGGCGTTTTCGTGGTTGTTCTCCTTTCGAGAAATGTTTGAGACGCGAGTCCACGTATTTTTTTGCTTCTATTTGCTTGTCTAGAGCTTCCAGTATGTCATCCACTGTGATTTCTTGCAGTTCTTGCGTTGACGTGAGCACGTTTTTCACTATGTTGTATGGAAATTTTTCCAGAATTTTCTCTGTCCAGAGAGCATCTTGCATCTTGCGGATGTCTTGCCCGGCAGAGACCAGTTGGTTTATCAACATGCGTATTTTGTCGTGTGTGTCTGAACAGCTTTCAGCAGTATTTGTTGCTGGTCGCATATCGACCAATTTTTGCACAACTCTGGCTCTATTTACAGGTCTGTTGCTGTATTTTTTCTTCAGTGTTTCTATCATCCACTGGTAATTTTTTGGTACCATTTCTATTCCTTTCACGGCAATTTCCGCCCTTCCCTTGAGGCTGTCCTTGAGGAACATCATTTTTTCTGTGGTACTTAGGACTTTGTTTTCGTGTACCAGGGTGCTAAAAATGGCCCAATATTCGGCGAATTCCTCTTCGTCGCCATAAAACCTCGGTATTTTGAGCTGTTTTGGTTTCAGAGTTCGACACATCATGTCTTCTGACTCTACGACGCTATTTATCAATAGGTCTTCGGATAACCATGCCCCTGCATTGGCGGAGAACTCTCTATCTTCTCCGTTGATTTCACCTTTCATTGCTGCATCGCTAGGTGTCGATACCGTTTCGGTATGTACTGGCATATCCAGCTTCTTTGCAAGTCTCTTCGCTTTCGTGCGAGTTTCGTTCAATCGCGCTTTTAGCACGTACATTGTGTCGTTAGCAGCCGCGATTTTTTCGCTGTATTGCGTGTCTTTGTCGATTTCTTCGATTTCAGCTAACAGTTCTTTACGATTACCTTTTACGTTTAGGTCGTCGAACTGCTTATCCAGCTTGTCTACCAAGATCTGGAGTGCGTCTCTGCTCTCCCTGATGAGCTCAATTCCTCCGCTGATCAGGTCTGCAGCATTGTAAAGCTCATCGAGCTGTTTGGTCTCGTTTCCGCTGGTCGAGACTCCTTCAGAGTAACCTCTGTACTTTTCCACCAAGGTACCCAAGGATTTAGCACTGTATGCTATTGGTTTTTTGTGTAATGTAAATGCCATTATCACTTTTTGCTTTTTTTTTCGGCTTAAGTGCTTTGCTTTCGCTTTAACTTACAGCCTACTTTATTGTAGCGTATGTGTTGCCAGGTATGATAGCCTGGGCTTTTTCTTGCTAGGTATGATGTCCTAGTCTTTATTGCCAGGGAAATGCTGGACTTGTGCTAGGTATGATGGCCTAGACTTTTTCGATTCAATAAAGAATCTCGACCAAAAAAAAGGATTTTTTTTTTGACCGATGCACCAAAATGTGCCAAACGGTGGTTCAGACTTTTACAAAAGGATTTATTCGGGAATATAGCAATAATATAACAACAATGACGTCCTTTTTACCCGGACCAGGTGCAAATTGATGGATGCGAAAGAGACATGCTTATCACTCCCAGCCCCCTGCTTTTATAGCAGGGGAGCTGGGCAAACAGTTCTATCGGGAGCCTGCCGAAGAGGTCGCCATGTCGGCGACACATGCTGATCATCCCCAAGGGGGGTGATCAGCATGCTCGAACACCCCTGTGCCAAATTCCAGCCCCCTAGCTCAAATTTTCAAAAAATCGATAAAATCGATAAAAGTAATGGACGATCTTGAAAACTAATATTGTATTCGTAATCTGCATGCTCGATTACCCTCTGTGCAAACTCCCAGCCCCGCAGGTCAAACTTTGCAAAAAAATCGATAAAATCGATAAAAGTAATGGACGATCCTGAAAACTAATATTGTATTCGGAATCCCCATGCTCACTTCCCCCCTGTGCCAACTCCTAGCCCTGTAGGTGAACTCTGCCAAAAAATCGATAAAATCAATAAAAGCAATCGATAATTCTGAAAACTAATATTGTATTCGGAATCCCCATGCTCACTTCCCCCCTGTGCCAACTCCTAGCCCTGTAGGTGAACTCTGCAAAAAATCGATAAAAATCGGTAAAATCGACATCGATCGATAACGAAAAGTGGACTGTGACTCCCGCCGGGGCCCGAAGTGTATGTGTGCCAAGTTTGGTCCGGATACGGCGGAGCCGGGTAAGCCAGCTAGTTCTACATAAAGTTTGGATGCACTACTAATCGAGTCCTATGTCATCATTTCAGAATGATCGACTTTTTAGCAATAGATCCTTTATAGGTGCCTTATCAGATAGACATTCAGCTGATTTTGTCGCCCGCGGTTGTGGAGTTTCACTGCTGACAACAGCAGCCGGACTTCCAAACGAAAGCTGTCACCAAGCCATTGGCGTCTGTGAGCAAGTCGGCGGAAGAGGTTCCTGCTACACATGTAATGATGAACATATGTGCAACCTCGCATTTTCGTTTCCTTCAATAGTTACGGTTCTGTTTGTTGTATTTATACGGCTATGAATATGTACAATTTTGATGACAGTGAAGAAATAACACATCTTTCCACCTTCTCGACCTTCCGACCGAAACTCGCACTATTTGCGCATGAGATCTTGCGCTTCTTCCGCTCAACGGCAAACTCACGAACAACAAAGATGACATCAGAGCTAGCAAACTTCGAGTACTTGGCGGATTTTCAAAGTTTGTTCAATGTAAGGTTTTACTTTCATGCGAGCACCCAACAGAAGATTGAGCATTCATACAACAAAACCTAGACATTTTGAGAGGCGTAATGAAAAAAGTTTTCCTGCACGGACAGCTACTGTTCCGCAGGCATAAGTACATAATAAGAAATTACATAACTGTACATTATATAAAAGCATCAATCGATAGCATAAAACAGAAACAACAGCGCCAGAAAAAAACATCCCGCACATGAAACATAAAGAATGTGACTGTGCCGTTTCAGTCATAATATAGAATAATCAAAAAATTTTGAGGAGCTAAAATAACAAAAAACAATTATAAGTCAAAGATTATCAACGAAAAACTCGTAAGGATGATTCATTGCCATACGAAAAGATTGTCGACTAGCAGCGAGATCAGATGGCACCTCGTCCAGTCTAGCAGGAATAGCAGATGTCGATGGAGCAGCCGGAATCACTACCTGACGCCTGCAAAATAGAAACTGAGGATTCGAAATTCTTTGAAGATGTAATCAAATTAATATTTTTGGATATACCCTCTCCTTCCACCCCCCCCCCCCCCTCTTCAAACTCCCTCTAATCACAAAAGTAATTCGCGAGTGCGCGACTTCCCGTGCAAAGAAAGATCAAGATTTTGAAAAATGTTTCTTAGGGTAGTGCGTTAAAAAAGGTGATTTGACTAAACTACGAAATTAACGGAAACATACTATACGTCTCCCGCCGTAACAGAAAACGCACAGAACGATCAGATTTACTGCAGCTTAAATCGTCATTGGAAAAACGGCTCGCAGAATGTTTTCCCATCAAAGTGCATGGCATAACGAATCACTAGCAAGGCAAAGATGTATCACCTTTTATGATCGCTTCCTGAACCGCTTCCATCGCCAGATCCACCACTAGCCTGTGATCTCACATCGGGTCCGGCACCTCGATGTGAAATGGGCGCACCTGGACCAGAAAAATGAGGATAAGGCGAGACTGGCATTGAGGCATATCCGCTTACCTGAAATTTATAAGAGGTTGTGGTGCTGGAATCAGAATTTGAGAAGCGAAATCAGTGCAGTAATCTTGATCTAATCATTTTCACTTTCATTGAAAGGAATGCAACGATGAGAAAAATGCATAGATTCTTGCAGGAAAATCCCATACTTGCTCAAATACGTCATCTGTTTAGGGTGGATCTATACACTTGTGTCCGTCTTCCATACACCCCTCGCCCTCCCCCAAGTGACACGTAAACTTAACCGTAGAATCAAGACTAGGCGCCAAGTGGAAGATGCAGTATCGTTTTGAATGACGTATTCCCTTACAAATCCAATTTTATCGTATGCGCTACCCCCTAAACGGATCCTCCCCCCCCCATGTTTTCAGCAGATAATGCAGTGTATACTTCATAAGAGATAATTACTTTATTATTAAGTACTTCATCAGGGATCTCTACACGATTTTTACACATGAAAGTCACTTCAAAGACTATAATGTTATGATAGGAATTGGGCAGATTCTCCAAGCAACATGTAATTTCACATAAAGACGTACGACTTCGAAAATCGGTTAATGTAAAGCACAGATTGAGCAAACACTGACAGATGCATTCGATTGCAATAAAAATAAAACTGTAGAAAATGCACATGGATAAGAGCAGGAAAGGTGTCTACTGAAACAATACACGAGGCCACCAATGGGGCAAATATGAACGAAGAATACCCAGACATTCTGGAAGGAATCGCAATAGTGGTGCAGGCAAAAGTCGAGGACAGCAACGGTGAAGCGCAATGGTACATTTATCAAATTTTACCGGAGTCTTCAAAACTGGCAATGCAATTTTTTAGTGACTTTACGCATATTTAAAAATCTCTTGTGAAAACACCTTGCAACAAACAACTGTTGTACAGGGCATCATAAAAGGTAACAAGGGCGGTGCGTGCGTCTCGTATGTAGTTTTGACAACCGCATGTTAGCGTCTAGTGCAGCCTTTTTTACATGCATACACGAATTTTAGAGGAAAGTGACTGAGCTGAATATTAAAGTGTTGCCTTTGAGAGTGTTTCACGCTGTTGCAATGTTTGAGGGACCGCACATACATTCTTCGTCACAATACGAACGTATGTTTTCCTTTTTCGTCCAAAGCAAAAGCATTTACATGCCACATTAACTTCTACAGTCTGCCCCAATCAGGATCAGGAACCGCTGGCTGAATATGGGCGCTCGCAACGCTAGGGGTCTGCACTGCAAACGGGTGCTGTCGCAGAGAGAGAAGAGATTGAGGTGGGAGCAGACCAGCTAGCCGTAGGCCTGATGCGATATCGTCGCGACACGGATTCCCGCCAGGTCAATTTTGGCCTGTTCGGAATTGGGGCAGACTGTACGCTAATGTTTCCCCGACACCAAAGTTTTACGCTAAACTAAAGAGTATGAACAGAAAAATTGATCGAGACAAATAATTGGATTTAGTTTTCCAAATGCGCTTCCTAGTACAGACTTTGTAACAAATTTGAGACGTTTTACTGCCCAAGCACAGTTGCAGTGATAGTGAGAAAAAAGTTACACTGACTGCTATCGGATCCGATTCTGGGTGTATCATATAGGTGGTGTCCCGGTAGATTTTGCATTACCATTCTTTTGCATTTTTTGGGCCTTTTCGACCCGTAGCCCCGGATTTGACTTTGAAACGGGTGAAAAGGCCTTTTTCGGGACATTTACCCAATTTCCAGAAGGCAGCTCGGACGAGCACTTCAATGGAAAGTTGGGAGGCCCTAGCACCAAGACCCTGCCTTTAATTTTTGCTCTGGTAGCATGCACAATGCGAGCGGTCGTGGGGTCCCGCGCCGACCGGGCGAAATCGTCCAAGCGCGCGCGGTTCAAAAGCTATTTTCTCGGCCAGGGGGAACATCAACCAGCTGGACTGCGCCTGAAGGTCAGTGGGATGACCAGGAATCCCACCATAGCAATATCCCGCAGCGCGCGAATCCGCCGGGACACTGCCTATAGACAGCAGTCTCACCTTTTTCAAGTTGCTGAATGTGAGATGACTCGTACGACACAAGCCTTTTACTTGGACCATTTACAAATGAAAGACACAAAGATTCGCTTTGCCCAATGCAAACCCGTACTGCAACTCAGTTGTAACTTCAAGACTAGAAGACAAAAAAGTCACGCTAACAACATCCATGTATCTAAGCTTTTAAATAACTCGGTATGCCGCAATACTCTAATCACCTACGAGCACCAAAGTATCAATCAAGGTACCGCTGCAACAAATTCGGAGTTACTTCCCGAAAACTGCTCGTAAAAGATGCATCCCACATATACACCACAATTGTGCTCAATTAGATTACTAAAACCTAGTAGAGGAGTTGCCTATGCCGACAGCGAAATGTCAAAAACAGCTTCGCAACTAGTGCGCTATATCTGCACATGATAGGACGCCTACACCTTACATCTGTCTCATTCTGGATCAGCCCAAAATTGGCTTGATGTGCATCCGTATCGCCACGATTTTGCGTCACAGCTACGCTTGCTTTCGTCTGCTTCTCTTACAATCTTCAATCTCCGATAGCGCAACGCCTAGCGGTGCGAGCAAATCTACGCCAATATGGCAGCCTAATCCCAACTGGGGTAAACTGTACGTGCTCCCGATGCTATAGTGCTTCTGTATGGTGTCAAAATATCAAACCATGTAAGCACCAAGTACCAAACCATCATCGCAGCTTTTTCTGCATAGCTATGCTGTTACTGTCTCGCCTTTCGCATCGGATACAAACATTCCCTGGGCATACAACATAACATAACATCACTTGAACTCGACGAACAGGACATGAAGTGAAGTGACAACGTGCACGTGATGCTGTGCAGATGGATGGTTGCAGGTTGCGCTGAAGCGCAAGCAAAAAAGCAGCAGGACGACGGGGTTGGTACCAGGACGGAAGGACAACAAGTACTTCAAATATCCATGACGTACATCCGTCCATGCGCGTCGCTTACCATCGATGCAGGTGCCTTTGTCGTCGCGCTGCCTGGCACTGTAGTCCAATGTAGTCGCTGCTGTTGTCCAGGGGCTAGCTGCTGATGAGCAACAAGCTCTTCAGGGTGGGCGCGATACCGAGCGAAGTCTACAACAAAATAGCTATCGTGAAAAATGATGTTTTCAGACTGCTTTACCTGCGCACTCTTCTCCAAGGACATAGTAACACTGTTCAGTGAAAGTGATCTTATTGACCACATGAGCGATGAGCTTTCGCTTCAATAGCTCAGCTGCATATTTCCGAGCGTCTTTTCGTTCCAGCAAACCATCAACATGAGCCAAAAGCCAATCCAAAAGATCTTTCCCTTCAAAGATATCAAACGAATGTGATTAAAAAAAGCGGAAAGTGCGTGCCTACCTAAAAAGGACATTGGAATTGGGATCTTCAACCACGTCCTATTTTTTATGTCAAGACCAGAATTAGGCATTGCCATAACTTCAACGACCTACAAGCAAAGTCAAATTGAAGCCAGTTCAATTCCTAAAAGCAGATGGCCAAGTGCTACTACCTTTTTCTTGTCGGTGTGTATATCTAATCGAATATGTTGGCCTGTTACGACAGTATTTTGTCCGTTCGAACCAGTAGAGGTCACGGTTGAACTGCTAGGCGGTCTTCCATGCGGCCAATCTCCTGGTATTGGAGTCGGCGCACCTTCTGACCCTGGAATGGTGTCAAGACCAGAATCTATTAATAAATTTATTGATGATACAATCTTAAACTTCTTACGAGAAAATGTTAAAAAAGAAAAGTGACCAACTGGTACTTCATTTGTAAGGCAAACGCAGATTTTGATGAGACTGGTCCGGAGAAAAGAATGCTCACCTTCTAAAATACTTGGCATTCCTCGCATAGCATTAGTATGTTGTATCCATGCTTGCGTATCGATAGGTCTGACAGGCTCGTCCCGGTGATTTCTAGGGATTGTGAAACAACTCTTTGGTCCACTATCAAAGCACTTAGCAACTGTCAACTTGATTGGCCCTTTTCTAGCGACTGCGTCCCTGCAGAAATTAACATATCCAATTATTTGAAGAATGTAAGATCACAGGTTACTGCAACCTAAGCTTACCGCAGAACATCGACAGCCTGGTCATTCGTAAAATTATCGAACGAGATATCATTTACTTGCAAAATCATATCGCCTGCGCTTATTCTGCCGTCTAGTGCAACTGCACCTCCTGAGAAAAAAGAAAGCTATTGCAGCAGATTAGAACTAATGTGCTAATATGAAGTGGCAGTATGGATAAAATCAACAATAAACTGTTCAAGTAAAATGTTACCCTTCATGATATTTGCAACATAAATTCCATTATCTCCACGGGCTGAACTTTGTCCAACTATAGAAATCCCCAGAAAATTGACAGTATCCATGTTGAGAATCACCGTGTCTACGTCCAAACTCATGGATGACTCTAAACCAACACTTACTGAGTTGTACTTTTTTTTAGCAAGACCTCTTATGTGGATAAAAGATATGATATCTTAAACAACAATTCAAGAGTTGTATCGGAATTTTACGCTGAAACCACACACTCCGTCATTTCCAAGATTTTGGATAAAAATGAGAATCTTGAAAGGAGATCTTTTGAAGATGTCGTGGGCAGCTGTCTACGCTGTCGTCAATGGATTAAATACACAAATTTTAGCATCCTACCTGTTATGCTTGAGAAAGAGGACGCCCTAGATGGCCGTCGGTACTGTCGCCGCCTCCGTTGCTTCTTGTACATATTTTCATGTTGCCGCGAAACAGAAGTGATATCCGTGGTTGTCGAACCTCTGCAATATAACATTGAAGACATCAAACATTGAAGATCAATACGTGAATCGTTCCTCAACAATTCATACACTTTTGAAAAGATAATATCTTCATAATCCAACAACTGTCGCACTAAGAAGTTGACTAGTAGCCACTTGGGGTAGTAAATCTTGTTTGTGCTGCATAAAACTTTACAGCCACGAATACTGGCGCGTTTTCCAGCAACCATCATGCCTGCACCGCGGTATTCTGCCGGTTTTAAAAATTCTCGTTTGTAGTTTTCTGGCTAATGGCAACACTTAGGTCTGGCACAAAAAGACTACTGTTGACCATCGCTACCCATAAAAATTGTCAAACAGAGCGACGAACGAACGAAAGAACATACTATCGGAGAAGACCAAAACTCGTTAAATCCATTTCTATGCAAAATACGCAAATTAAGTATGTATGCTATACGGAATATGCGAAAGTTTTACCCCTTACTTTGACTTTCTGATAGCGTAATAGTCTTCCGAATTGGATGTAGTCGAATAGTATACTTTACCGTCGCTATCGTCAAAATCACCATCTTCAGATAAGTAGCCGCTCATTCATACAGAATTTGAAAGGAAGATTCGGGAAGTAACAGTGATGAGGGTAGTAAATACGACTCGGAATCAGTTGCAGCGAGTGTGACTAATCCTAAGATGGCCAAGTCATCCATTACAACATGATGCGGGTGGATTAAAAACATCGATATGCAAACGATGCAAATGCAGAACATGAATACCACGAAGAGTGACTTTGGCACTATGCGCGTATATGCCTAGGTCTCTTCTAAATTTTGGAGAAAAGATTTTATTGCACGGTCGAGTATTGATCGCTGTAGCATTCAAACCAGGTTCGATTCGTTCTGAGCCAACAACTACCCATTATTCACAACACATTAACAATAACGACTCATTCACGGAAACAATGCTCCTTCTTTTCGTTACGTGTGTCAAAGTTAAGACGAAAGTAGCTAACCTGTCGTCTTCATCTGAAAACATCCTAGCATCGCTCTCGGATCCTATGGTGGAATCTTCAAAACGCCGCCCACGATGGCCTAAATTGCATAAATTTCTATAGAACGCATGTTTTTATTATTCTTTCCTGCAAAGAGTAGACACTCGCCGATTAAGTAAAATGATGCATTTGCACTAAGTTCACTTGTGAGCGACAGGTGACTGGTACGATGTAAGAAACCAATCAGATGGCGCCTCGGACTAGCATCGGGAGCGACGTCGTTCTTCCCCTGATAAGTGCTAGTCGTGTTGCTGCCGAAGTAGCGTCGTGTCGTTCGAGTCTGCCGCTCCTGAGGTGAATCCACCAAGACGGCATTTTCGTACAGAGGAGGCAGAATTTTGTCCTCGACGGCGGTCACAGCTCTGCTCAAAGGTCGGCTGGGGAGCATCCTTCTTTCACACCTCATCAGAGGACCGCCCTCGAACGTTGTGTACGGACGTCTCCGACTGAGCGAATGCTGGTCTGCCGAAGCTGCAGCGTTGATCAGCTCTTTGGCAGATATCTTTTTTCTCTGAATAATTAGCGATGAAGCGAGGCGATTTCCACGACGTGGTTCCAAAGGGCGGAGAGCAAACTCCTCTTCTTCATTCAACTGCATTTCTCTTTGTGAAATATCTATCAAGGCTGAACGAGGTCGTGATGATCCTGTATCCGCCAAAAAACGTTCAGGCTGTTCGCTGGTGGTCGCGTGCTTGTTCTTGATAACTCCATCGCATTCAGCTGGTATGATTGTCCCTTCGGATCTTCGCTTTCTGAGACGGAGAACCGGTGGCTGGAGAAATCCTGTTTTTCTATCCTTTTGCAACTTACTGTCAACCGAGTTGCTTGACTGCCGTTCGCGTAATAAGATGGGATCGCGAACTGCTCCTCCAGTCACGGCGACAACTTTGGGAACAGAAGAAGGTGATTCCAATCTCTTCTTATCTTCATCTCTTCCAAATATGCTATTGAGCAATCCAGTACTCGTCAGATGTCTTACGTATTTCCTCCTACTTTTTGACTCATCCAGTGGCTCAACAATTTCAGGCACTGCCAACGGCGGCTTCTTTTGTGGGGATTTCTCTAATCGAGCAATAAGTTGTGCAACACGGTTCCTTGCGCTATTCTCAGGTTTTTGCGGTATCAGCGGTGATACGCAGTTATGTAAATGACGGCGTTCTCCAAGAAGATCTCTCAGAAAATAGGTACGATCCATGAATCGAGAAGGCAAGTGCTCTCTGCTCGATGTTCTCCATGGGTAACCACCAAAAGTGGACATCCTTGAAATGTCCACATTTATGAGGATAGAAGCGAAAGAAAGACGATCACATCCGTAAAGCGGATACCAAGTTCAGGACTCTATCGAAAGATGGAGAGGTGTGCAAAATGCTTTGAAACACATCTTAAATTAAATAGAGCAAAATTTTGACGGAAGGCTAATGCAGAGTTAAGCATTATTCAAAGGTGAACTAACAAATCCAGGAAGCAGATAGAGCATCAAGGACGAGGCCCAGATTACTTATGATAATAAATTCTCAGAAGAATACATCAGGGACGCGCCATAGGAAATCAATCAGGCACTGACAATGAGATCAGGAACGTAAATCAGAGAGTCAGAGGCTCAAAATAAATTTTTCTATTGAGATTATAGAAAATGAGACTTTATCAGATCTTTTCCTAACATACGATGGTATGTGCGTGTCTGGCTTAACACTGCGAAATCAACGAGAAACGCAGTAAGCAAACACCACGGGAGCCACAGTTGAGCTTTGCTTTTCTCTCAGCTATCACTGACAATATCATCACAAAAAAGCCCCCGTGGTGGAGAGGTAGGGAGGAAAGATGGTATCGTTGATGAATTATTTTATACTAGCAGTGACAAACCTATGAATTTCTGTTTAGAATCAAAAGCTGAAACATTCAAAAAAAAAAGATGGAAGAATGGAAAATAAGGTGACATTATTGTAATCAAGGCTGAACCTAGCTAAAACTTCCATGCAAAGAGAGGGGTGGTAGTCCAAAGAAAGGGTTCTTTGTAAATCACTTTTCGAAAGAGAGCTTGAATTGACGAGCAGAATGACCAAAGGAAAGATGAAGGCAATTCGTGCATGACTGATCACAAATTGATATAAATCATTGAAACGCCACGCTCCCTATTTCTTCACAGGAATATGAACGAAGAACAAAATGAGGGTGGAAACTAGCACGCAAGCCTCTTCAGACTTTAGGGACTGAAGTAACTGGAACTTATAAGGGGGAAAGTGAAGAAATACTAATGAAAATCTTCCTCTAGAAAACTAGAACTTCGCCCGCAGTGGATTCTCATTCAAAATAGATGTGCGTTACTCAGAATGATGGATCAGAAATTATAAATGATGTTTGTAAGTGATAAGAGCAGCATATACGTGGAAAGGCGACTGGGTCGCCCCTCGAGGTGACACTCGAAAACACCAAGGGTTTCTCGAACGCGGCTAAATGCAGCTCGCGCTCGTCGAGTGTTGCGAGGAACTCACAGAGAGAGAAGCAGTGATAAATAGATAGACGTAGTGTCCATTTCTATGTTCTCTGGTCGCACGCATCACAACGTAAGCAACTGGACAGTGCTTCTGAAGAGTGGCAAAATTTCGGAGCGAAAGTGTCAAGGAGAAAAGCAAAGCCAACATATTTCTCCAAAAAATGCGACACATCCTTGAACATCGCAAAAGGTGATTCATGAAAAACTTTGTCGACAGAATCACCTGGGATCCCAAGATACTGACGAGTTGAAATCCTCCTTATTACACTGAGATACAAATTCGCGGATAAGCTGGCTTTAGTTCAATTTCGAACTTAGGGTTGGGTGGACAAAAAACTCGCGTCTCGCTGCATGATAGATGGATATGTCTAGGCTAAAACCAGTTAAAACCAGTACTCTAACACGGCAAAAAGCAAATGATACAACATTCGACCATAGTGTGATATGAAAGAAAAACACTGATTTGCATGCTCAAAGAAAAAAATGAAGAGCAAGAAGCAAAGTATATAAGCCAAAATGCTTGTAATAAGTTTTGCACAGCATGACTGTAACAGTAAACGAGACCCTCTTTCCAGCGTGATAGAAATCCTTTTCTAGCATAATGGAAATCCTTTTCCAACCATGGTGCAATCGGCGTAATTCACCAACTACACAAATTATCAACACTGGTTCGCAATTCCCACCCTTTTCTCCAGAGTTTAAAACGATGAGAGTAGTGCACCACCCGATAGCCAAATGTCAATCGAGATTTCGATGGGAAAGAATATGTAGACAATAGCCCATCTACGAAACCATCGAGGTATGTTTCAGAAAATGCAAGTCTGGTTCCTGCAGGTGTTCCACCACATTGCGTAGTCATAAACTTGAAAGAAGCAGCCGCAGACAGCAGCACTTCGAGGCGAAAAACAACAGATACATAGGCAGTCTTCACTTACCCATTATATACTGAGGTTGGACGTGTCTCCTGTTCAAGCTTCCTTTCATATATTGCGGAACAGGGGCTGAGATCATTGACTCGGAGTCCGTACTGAGCACTGAAAATTGAACAAGTATTGTTTATATATATAGTGTATCAGGTTGGAAATAAAATAATGTGCTTTTCATTTCTTCGTCACGGCATCGCAACAAGGCAAATCCGAGAAACGCGCATGGGATACCACAATTCAGCAAATCAAGCTCTACCCAATGGCGTCAATGCTTCTGCACCATTTTACATCCACACAAACGGCCGAGAAAACAAAAAACTCTTATCTTCTTCAAAAAAAAAAAATTCTTATCTTCTTCCAAGAAATTTCTACGGACCCCCAACTTGCTCACATATATCACATATATCATAGACATATATCACTCATCAAACATTCATATGCGCAGTTGCTGTAATTATTACTTGGGTAGACATCGAAAAATTGAAAATTTTTATGCCCCTGCCAAAGTGATGTAGGTCTGTTCCCGCGCACTAACCCTATCCTATATTACTTAGCTTGGAAAGTACAACCGTAGATTTCCTGTCTTTTACAAGAGCTATTCTCGAGAAATATCGAATGCAATTCGAAGAACAGAAGAAAAAAGCTGAATTCGATATTTCTCGAGAACTAACTCTTGTCAAAGACCTACGGTTTTACCTACTATTGAGTAGTATAGAATTACTTACGCGGAAACAGCCCAGCATCACTTTGACAGGCATAGTGATGAGGAAAAGTCCGACGGACTGTGCGTTACGAATTACACATGCATATTGATTTTATCTAACAATAAGATCTCACAGTAGGTGCTATACCGCATTGTTTCAATTGTTGCAAATTTTCTCACCATGCCCCCCCCCGTCATCAAACTCAAACATCTAAAGCTTTCAAGTGCTTACTCATCTTTCGTTCATTCAAGCACCTGCTGCATGCCCACACACATAATATTCACAATTTGTGCTCGCATTCTCAAAAAAAACTGCTTGGACAAGCTTCGGCTTCTTTTAGTTCTTTAAGAACGAGGAAAGCTAGTGACAAGAGCAGAGTATTCGCGATCACGATATTCGTGGCTCTTCAGCAAGCTTGAGCGTTGAACAGGAACAGCTATAAACACGAAGAAAAACTCACAGCTATTATCATATTGATGAACGGCTTGACGGTAAGCATTCTGACTGAGGTGATACATACTCGTAGGGGCTGGTCCGGGAACCTTCAAAAATTGCGTAACAAAAACCTTAAACAAGCGGTAGGTGGGAAAAATACCATATGATGCCTAGCACTTTTCGGAAGACCTGATGAACCATCTGAATGAGTAGAACCTTCGGTAGTGAGCAGAAACAATTCGAAGCGCCCATTTGACGATCGATGCAACCGTTCCATATCATCGCGAATCTCAGCTTTCACTTCACTGCAATTTCAAAACACTTGCAACAATATTTCGTCGTAAAATGTATAGGATTCCGCATGATCGCAAAGTCGGTGGGGTTTGCGTCCACTGCACATGCATTGAGCTTTCTCAAATATCTCTCTTCTTTCAAACGCTTGTCTGTTTTCAGATGGTAGCTTCAATTTACCTGGAACAATTTCGAAAAGTATGGGGTTGTTTAACTGGTTTGAGACCTTGTGGCATCCTGTGTAATCGCCGCAAATTTACCCACTCTCGCGATCATGCAGAGCTTTATACATCAAAGATCACGTCAAAGAATGACTACATTCTTTAGCAAAGTGGTGAAGAGTAAACTAATGAACAGTAACGACAATACAATCTGCACTTTGAGGGACCGTAGATTCGCCCGCAGGAACGATTACTTTTGGATTGGAGCAGGAATCCTCCGTAGAGCACCCTATCCTTCCAACGCTGATTTTGAGGATGCGCTTGCCAAATAACTCAATGTTACGTCTTGCAACTCTACTACCGCAACTCTAATCTCCGTATCAAGCTTGCCGAGCGACTTTCTTTGATCGTGATATGCACTGACTTTTATCAGTGAAGTTTTTGCGCTCGGATGTTCTACACAAACATCGAAATGTTTGCCACTTTACGGCTAACACTTATTTTGCAGACGCTCTTGCCGCGTCTGTCATTTGAGCGGACTTCTTCAAATGCCATGCTTGGCAACAGAAGTCTATCCGAGAATATCTGAATTGGCAACAAATTTGTGCAAGTTGTGTGCATTATCAACTCTCTGTCAGATAAACGTGGAACAAAGACTGATTGCATGAGGGCATCGCAATTCAATGCATAAACACTAGAGCATGAAGAATAGAAAATACATCGCAGCGCTTTATTGCTCCGAAAAGGAGGACATCTCACAGTCAAGCTCTGCCATGATTTGCTTTGTAGTATTTCAGATTTACTTGAACCATTCAGGCCTGTTGTAGAATCAAGTTTTCTCCTTTTGGTGTAAGGCACATTTGATACAACAAACTTGCATTATGGCCCCAATCCTCATATTTCAAGTCACCCAATAATTTACAATGCAGATTTCCAGATTTGAGAAGAGCATTGATTCAGGAAACAATTTTGTGCCAAGCACCAAAAATCAGGTATGATTGGGTCTATTGACGTTTTATCATGTTCTTGTAAATCTGAAGCACTGCAAGGGTTGACATGAAAACTGGAGTCATAGTTCAAGTTTTTTGAAGGTGACATTTGCAATTCTTATTGCAAACGGTTTCGATTAATGATGCGTACATTTTCGACAAACTAAGTCGTAAAACCGAAGCATCGGCATTTCAAATTCTTTTGCAAACTTATATTCTTGGCGAGCTTTGAAAAATGAAGTTCAGTGGCTTTTCCCCGCTTACATTTCTGTGACCGTACCGTAGCAGAAAATCGCCAAGATTACCGTAAGTCTGACTTTTCAAGTCTGACTTTTCTCAAGTATATTTGTATGTATATTTGTATAAGACAAATTCGCCTGGATGATGCAAAAAGAAAAAAATTTTCAGTGAAAAGGAGAAAGTTCTGTGCATCTGATACTTGAATTAGCCTTTCAGATTCAAGCAGTATGATGTATGGTGACAAAAATCTACAGCACATCCCAAAATAATGTGCACACTGTATGATCGTTAATAACTCTCTTGCCTTCATGTCTTCTTGAAGAGGGCTGTATATACAAATTTTACGGCGCTGAAAGACTTTGACAAAAGCACAAAAGAACAAATCTTGCCCGCTCTCGAGAAGTCACAGCAAGAAGACGACGATCAACCGCTGATTAGGGCGCAACATTCACAATCAGAGACAAACTACGATGTTAAGAAGCTGGTACAATCATAGTTTCCTAGTATCACCTTTTTCGCAAGAATTTCGCTTATAGGCAGACTCCCCGATAGTCAAGGCATTCAATGAAGCTGAAAGGAGACGGTTGTCCAGATCGAAAAAGTGATATCTACTGAAAAAAGGAAAAAGCAAATCAAACTTTTATGTACAAATTCGAACCGCATTAGTAAGGAATTTTGTACTTGATGCTGATAGTAATGGAGACCTAGTGCTTGAGTAACTCATCTTATGCTGTAACTCTGCGCGGTTTCCCAAAATCAGTTTCCGCTGGCGATACCCATTTGTCCAGATTTGCCTGCACGCCGCTTTCAAAGAAAGTGGCTCGACAAGCTTGATATGGAGATTAGAGTTGCGGTAGTAGAGTTGCAAGACGCAACATTGAGTTATTTGGCAAGCGCATCCGCAAAAGCAGCGTTGGAAGGATAAGGTGCTCTACGGAGGATTCCTGCTCCAATCCAAAAGTAATCGTTCCTGCGGGCGAATCTACGGTCCCTCCTGCACTTTTGGGGTTGCACCTTCGATTCTCATGTCATATAGCAGTGTGCAGCTATTACTACAACCACATAGATAGAAGCATTAGGTAACTAGCAATGAGCATGAATTTTTTTACGGAGTGACAACCCTCATCGATAGGACAGATAAAAACCCTACAAAAGCACTGCGAGACAGTGCTCCTCAATTCAAAAATTCAACAGTATTTCGAAACCAGTATCCAAGAATGCTCTCGTAAAGCATGCACACACCCACCATCCCGTATCCTGGTCCAACGCTTTACAGTAGTATTTGAAGTTTGAACGCATCAACACTCGCTTGACATCTCCTAGCGTGATTAAATCGGGAGGAACGTGAACTTCAGTGAGGTATGGAGTTGGCTCATCATCTATGTGATAGTAGACCTAGAACGTTAGTCATGTGTTATAAGCCTAGGTACTTAGCAGTAAACCTGATTCAGCTCCTAATTTCTCCCATTAAACAACCCTAACATACCACGCTTACCTTTGTACTAGTTTGCGGAAATGGCTGATTAGTCACGGTACTGGGTGGGACTTCTGATACCATAGATACTTCGCTTTCACCCATACCTGATAACCCGCTTGTAGCTGGAATAGAATAATCACTTAAATAAAGAAAAAGCAGCATCGACTGAGCAACATTTTATTGAAAAGATGCTGATATTCGTGTAGCTGAGTACTTCAAGTCAGCCTTATGAGTTTTGGTCTTGTGACATTTCCGCGAAGTAATAATCAACTAGAAGAAAACTAGAAGCTACACTGAGTATACAACCACAAGACGAAGATTAAACTGCAACTCGTTTTTCACTAACTTTATGGAAGGGTGTAGACATCTCGCGGAGCGAAATGTTTTATGTTAAAGGGGCAGAATGACTATCTTAGGTAAGCGAGTTGGTTCCAATGATAATTGATTGCATGTGCTTATTTCAAGTATTCATCTATATTATTAGATTAAATAATTTGTGATGTTATCAAAATTTTACACTGTTTTGACCGTATACAATGAAAAAAGAAACTATGCATGAAAAACATTGAAAGTTATATGCGCGTGCTTACCGCCATCGCGTAAGGCATCGCCCATTATCTCGCTATCCACCGTTTCGTCAAGATTTACATCCCGGATTTTCTCTGCAAGAACATCCGGTTCAACTCCGGATGAATCTAGGTCTTCCGATTGGTTTTGGGAAGACATCCTAAATTACATCATCATATCGAGGAACCACCAAGAAGTTGACGCGTCTACTGCAATCAAGTGTAAAGTCAACATGAAAAGAATGTGCTATCCTTAAGTGGGTGAGATAAGAATGTGGCATGAAATGCAAGAAAGATATTCAAACAAAAGCTAGAAGCTGTGACGGCATGAACGATGAGCATAGAGTTACTTTGCCGAGGCAAAGAAAAGTATGTTGCAGGATCAATAACGAGTCAGGTGCGATATCGGCGGATAGCATGTCGCAGGACTAGCCAACAGCGGAAAATTTCTCTGGTTGCAATGTACAAGTTGACAACATGTAAAAACGACCGTATTTACAATATAAGTGTCTACCGGTCCAATGAAGGTAGCACAGCACAAAAAATATATAGAGTTGCGAATTTTGCCCGACAGCGGATATGACTACTTATAAGTTGCATCTGCCTTAGAATTGTACTGATATGCTACTGTCAATCACATCTGGGCCCGAAAGTTGGTCATCATTTGAATTTGGGCAACCATACATATTACCCGGCTGATTTGCTGGAGATCTCGCAGAAAACGGTGAAAGGGTGCATTTTCAAAACGATTCCGGTGAGTAGCTCCGCTTCTCGCCTGACACACGCTCTTATATGTTTTTTGATTACTGCAGAGCTGCTTTGGTACAGAACAAATTCATGTTTTTCTTAGTACAATCGAATAAATATCAGATCTCACAATCTCATCAAGTTCCAATCGTCAAGCAGCACTGACTGAGGCCAACAATCACCAAAAGGGTTTGACAAAGACAACTGAGCCAAAAAGTGAACCAAATGAATGAGTTGATCACAACTTGGAAGGTTTCAGCAGTTACATATCAAAGTATTGCCAGAATTGAATTTATTCCTTTATTTTCTTTTTGGCTTTATATTCTTGCGAACTTTGAGCTACTGGGCTGGGAGTTGGTTCAAGGGGATGGGGGTGAGCATGGTGAATAAATTAGTATTTAAGATTATCAATTAATCCTGTGAAAATCGACTTTTTGCAGGAAGCTACGGGGCTGGGTGGCACAAGGGATAAGTGAGAGCTGATCACGTAAAATAACCGCCTAAGACATTCATTACTTATACCAATTTTATCATTCATGGCGCCAGGACTTATTGTTAGTACAGGTTTGGGAGTGGGGCGGTGATTACAAAAACACGGCGTCAGGAGTTGGCTATGTAAATGGAACAGAAACAGGGAAATGCTGTAAAAGGGAGACTGAAAGGTGAGTTCTATAAAGTCGTGTTCACAGGAACCGGGCAAAGCCGGAGAGCACAGTCAGCTAGTTCTATATGATTAAGGGCTGTCGGCAGCGTCGCAGCAGTGTATTAACCGCTAGAACGTAGATCAGACTTATAAGTGGTACTAAAGACAAAGCACGAAAGGAACTGCTCTGCTAGAGATCTTAACACCACCGCTAACCCATCGCGGCGAGATGAACCGCAAATTCATACAAAGTCTTGTTAACCGACCGTTCTCAAAATCCTCAGCACTTGCCATCATTTCGAAGTGCAATTCTCAAAAGCAGTATTGTTGTGCTCAATGCATCGAACACTGCTTGCCCTAAGTATAGTACCACGGAGCAGTCCGTGCGGTCAACGAATCGACGATATGGTAAACGTATGGTGACCGCAGCCATGAAAAAGAGAAGTACATCTTCTTCTATACTCAAAAGACCCGCAGCACTTTCGCACTCCCAGTGCAATGTAAACGAGAGGGTGATACGCTCACTGATGAGAAAGCATCCCATTCATGATAAACCTTCTAGGTGACATAAACAAAGTCTGTGATTGCAGCGCCAACTATCTAGTTTCTCAGAAAGAGACGATCCAAAAAGAGTGTGAAGCTCAGATACTTCATTACTACCTCAAACACAGAACGTAAAAGGAATGCTAAACAGACTGCGTCAACGTTTTCCATCGATTAAGGACTTTGATTGTCTCAGATCCCCAGCTCCTCCACGTATGCCTCATTTACAGAGAACCAACTGGGTGTTAATCCCAAGGGGCGCGAACTGGATATGAATGAGAAAGCCATCAAACGGCATAGAGCGAAAAGAGAGGAGGAAAGAGACACGTTACGCAATTCAGTTGGTGTAAGGCTTCATACTACCTGCACTTGAGACAATGCTGGATTCGGGTAGCAACCACGAAATAAAGAGAGTAGTGATGTACTGTTACGAAAAATAGTGTAATTCAAAAGAAAAAGAGAGCTTGATCCGAAGTCACCAAGACACAAGACGTAAAAATTCTTTCGTTAAGCAGCAAGGATCGAGATGTGAAAGGAAATCGAGGCATGGATTCACGGAGCGCATATTTGGGCCACAAGTGGAATAGATCTGTCTTACAATTCCCGTGTCTAACTGCAGTAAACAGGAAAAAAAAAGAAAAGCAACTTGTGAATGGAATCGTTTTAAAAGAGAATGATTACGAGACCACATGACAAGGGATGCATAAAATTTTCATCGATGATTAAAGTGAGATAGCTGGATGACTGTACAGGAGATGCCATATGCAAAACACTTCTTTCGAGCTAGGTTGCAAATAAGCGGACCGCAGGCAGCACTTGTTGAAAGTAGCTTCAATACTATTTCGAAAAACCTCCATTCATACAAAATCTGCGCTCTGAAGTTTTTTTTTCTGAGGCGTCTGCAAAGATCTAACAATTATACGGCTCACGATTTGCAGAAAACTGTAACGGCTTTACGAGAGAAAGTCATGAAAATAAGCTTCTGTTGCAAAATGCTAATGCGATGAGGAAGCGAGCGTAATTCGGAGTTTCGTGCAAGGATATGGCATTGACGTCATCAGGTCGATGAGAGGCCGGCGAGTGACCAATGCAGTACGTCGATTTGACTCCGACGAGGGCACGCCGTTGCTGCGATCGATCGATATCGCCGAGGTTGCGTCTGCAATTGCGGAGCACGTATGGCGGAGACGCCGCAGCGAGCAGATGTAGTTGGTTGCGCAAGATGGCGTGCTTGTCATGTTTGGGAGAGGCGGGGGGGGGGGGGGGGGGGTCGAAGGAAGTGGGTTTGGGACAGTGTGGGTCTTGGTTGCATGTAGGGTTCCATACAAAAACCCGATTTCTTGCAAAGGCAAGATCTGAATTTGAATACATCATACAATCATGACCATAGTGTAGAAATCCTGAGTTGAAAGTGTTGAAATCTGCATGGGACGAACATGAGGTAGAGAACACTTGATTTGTTAGCGCAATCCAGGACCTTCGAAGTCCTGTCATCACCGGAGATTGTAGGGAGTGACAACAGTCTTTTTCAATCGACGTCATTTACGCATATCTGCTCTCATTTCAAGTGGTCATTTTGTTTTACGTGTAAGTAATCCTAAACAATCCATCAATGTGGTAAAAGTGTAAAGAGGCACTGATTTTTTATCTTGATTCTTTCACAATTTGGAAGGTTTTAATTTATGATGAATGATGATTAATGATCAGAGAGTACGCGCGCGAGAGAGACGCAGACTGCGTCGCTGGTGCGAGCGGCCTTAATTAGGTCATAAAGCCCTGCCTTCCACCCGCCAAGCCTGTTTAATCAAAGGTTACCACATTCCTCGCACGCGTTGCATACATTTGAACGAGACTTTCGAAGTTATGTCTAAGGAGTGCAAAGCTTGCAAAATGCTTCTAGACCAAAAAGACGAACGTTTTCAAAGCGTTTTTGTCGCGTTATTCTAGGAATCGTGTTTTGGTTCATTAATTTCGTGAATATAATCGAGCAAACTGTATCATGCGCATGGATAGAGAGTAGTAACCAAATCATCACGTTTTGGTGACTGTCCTCTCATCCATTGCAGCGCGGTTATCTTTGATAGCCTCCAATGTTTTGCTGGTGCGCTGCCTCAAGTTCGGAATCAAAACTGATCAGCTTCCATTTTGAGCAGTCGAAGGAAGAAGACCATTTGACAATGCCAACCTATACATCTTAATTGGAATAATGTGACTAATGTCCTCAAAACCTTGACATCCAATGAATTTTTTTTGAAGAAACTGCTTTATTATCTGGGAGCCCCATTACTTTTGGATCACCCCAATACACTTTAAAAACAAAAAGAAAGGTAGAGGTTTAACGTGTTTGTGGTAGAATTTCAAGGTGACAAGGTAATTTGCTGGAGTGGCATATGCAAAGTATCTGTCCCCACAAAACTGGTTATGCCCTCTCCTCGTTACTTGTCAGTTTCTTCATTTCTGTTCAAAAGCCAATTATTTGCGGTGTAACACTTAGAGCAATGGCATAGGGAAAGCTTTTGGCTACATCACCATTACCGTCAGTAATTTCTAGCTTTCCGCTTTGAGCTTTTGTAGAGAATCGACTATGACAATCGATGAAAAAAGGGAAAAGTCATAATTTCCGAGAGGAAAAAAACCCTTGCTTTTTCCACACAAACCGCAAAGGTCTCATAATTCTTACGTTAAAAATGTACAAGGGGGGCATCTTTTACATACTATTATGTGGTACTTTAATCGCTCTGTACACAAACGTAAGAGGCTGGGAGAATACAAACACTTGCTCGCAGAGCCTAAAATCGTTTCCTTTTCTTTACCTCAAGACGCGAAATACAGGATGTCCCAAAAAAAATGTATCGAACGTTTGATCGTTAATATCTCTCTTCCCAAGATGTCTTTTGCCTTGCATTAGGTACCGTTTGTAAAGCTGGTATCAACTTAGATTTGCATTATAGAACGAATCACCGATCTCTCTTCATTACTGTAGGATTACGGTAGAAACATTACTGTAGGATTACGGTAGAAACTTCAAAGAGGGTTTTGAACAATGAAAGGCCATATTTTGCCTTAGAAAGGAAACAAAACAGCCTGAAAGCTTTTACACTAGGCTAATTAGAGTTGCTGATTATAACTGTAAAGTTTCCAACTAATTGTGATGCTTCATTGAAGAGTTATGCCAGGTAAGAGGTAGCGGCCATTTTTTCAATGTTCCTAAAAAGTGCGGTCACACCCTTTAGAAAGCTTCGTAATCTTGTGAATAGTTGAGTATTGAACTCAGCGTCC